AAAGAGCGTCCTGAGACCTCTGACACCCCACAGCAGTTCCTGCTGGGATGGCACTGAGGGGATCCCACCGATGTACTGAGGCAGGCTGCTCATGAGATGCAAGAGGAGCCACCCAAGGAATGAAGACTGGGTAGAGAGGACCTCCTTGAGAGAGGACCTGCAGGAGTAGTCAGACCTTAAGGGAAGATCCAAAGAGAGTCTGTCTCACTACAGCCATCTCTAGGTAAGGATGAGCCTGAGGTTTGCCTGTACATGGGAGGACGTGTCTCTAGTCCAGGAGAGCCTTTACCTTCCACTTGCTGATGGTGTGTAAGCTCCTGTGTGCTCAAGCTGAGGGCAATCAGAAGAGGGAGAAGATCCCTGAAGTTAAGGCTGATGCTCAGCTATTAACACCTTCTCTTCTATCTATTCATAACTAGGGGAAACATATTCCCTGTGGCTCAGTGCTCCACCTTGGTCCTGGGGCAGCCTCAGCAGCGTTCTCTGTGGCATGGGGAGCATGTCATGGACAGATCAGATCTGACTGGTGGCCTTGGGAGTAAAAGGAAAAGTCTCCCACCCACAGAATCCAGCCTGAGCAGAGCAATAGCTGTTGCAGGCCCTGCAGCTAGAGGACTGGCCCTGGCAGTCACTCCTCTCTCCAGCTCTGTGGTTGCTCCCAAGCCACACAGCCCCAGGCCAGGCTTGTTTGATCAGCAGCTGGTGGTTCCATACCTGCTTCCCAGTATACAGCTTGGCGACTGGGATCAGCAGCCTCAAGAGAAGCTGGTCCTGCTCACTGGCCTGGCTGGTTTCCACAAGTCCTAGCAGACGAACGATCTCCATGAGCAGAAGAAATGCCCCTCGTGCCTCCACCTGCAAGGAGAGAAATGGGGGAGCCTCACTGGCAAGGATCTTTGTCTCGGGCTGGTTCCAGCCTGGTCTGCTAAGGTGCCATGAGACTATCTCAAAGTGATGTCCAACACTCCAAAGCTAAAGTGCATAGGGGATACTAAGGAATTCTGCAAGCCTGCTGGGAACAGCCCAGCTCTTGGTACATGAGCTACCAGGGAAGGTGGATGAGTCTGTACCAGTCCTGGACAAGAGTATGTTAACTGCAGTTTAGGAGACTGTGGTGTCATCATTGGACTGATGCTAATGGCCAACTCATAGCAGGTGCATGCATGAGCTTTTGGCTCTCCTTTAAGGATAGATCCCAGAAAACTACTACTTAGGATAACCTGAAGTCCAGCAGAGAAACCAGGTCAGGCAGCAGATCAAATCCTACTAGAATATGGCCATTCCCCTGCTGCATACATCTGGCTGCAGCAGGACTAGGCTTCTACACCCATCTCTTGCACGTTGCACACAGAGGCAGGCTGGCTGCCCTCTTTTCTCACCAAAAGGTCCATCTTGGTTCCCAAAAGTCTTACCTCCATCCGGGCTATTGTCTGCATGTGGAGGGGGTGATCCTTGAGGAGCTTCCCAAAGGCAACCCGCCTGCGGGCGTAGTCCCTGCTCAGACTGATCATCCTAGAGAGAAGCCAGCCAGGGAAAGCAGTTAGATCAGCAACTAAAACAGAGTTAAATCAGCTTCTGAGCTTTCCCTTCCAGCCAGTCCTACTGGAAGAACCCTGCTCAGCTGTAGCACACCAAGCCTAGGTCACCCACCCACAGGCCAAGCTCCTCCAGCCCTGCTGGAGCTTCCAGACCCGTGCCTGCAAAGGCAGCAGACATCAATGGGCTGCAGTGCTGAGCATTGCAAAGTCCCCCTCTTCTCCTTAAGCTCTGGAGGGATCCAAGCTGCCTTCACCTTCTCATGGAAGCCACTGCGCCGATGACGTTGTGGATCCGAGTTATGTTCAGCATGCTGGAGATGGAGGCCACCCCACGGCCCTCCCTGGAGACCTGCAAGCACCAAGGGACAACAGGCTGCTGGACACCTTTCACCCAGCCCTGGGATTGGCTGCATATGTCTGTGGAAGTGGTGTCAGCAGGCAGATGGATGTAGACTGGCTTCTCTGACTCTGCCTGTCCTCAGGCACCACGAAGAACTGCTTGCTTTCCAATCTGGCTGTCTCATTTTAGCCAAGGCTGTGGCATAAGCACAGAGGCGGCTTTGGAGACCACGTCAGCAGGCTCAGGTCTGGTCCCTGCTGCTCGTTCTGACCTGCACGCTCCACAGAACTGTCCCTCAGCTGGCCCAGTGCCACTGGCTTAGGGAAACAACCAGCCAAAAAGTGACTTTTTAAAAAAATATATTCCCCCCTGTCTTTTCTTGAGCTCTTCTCAGCTCTGTCCCACGCACAGCCCCATTGGTGGGGCATGCTGTGAAGAACAGCTAGCCACAGAGGTGAAGGAGAGGAACTTTTTCAGCTGACATCACTGCCAAGACCCCCCAAGAGGTCTGCCTGGTCCCAAGTGGAAGGTGAAGCCCTACGTACTAGCTCTGCTTTAGCTCCATCCAGCCACAGCTCTGCTGTTGCCATCTGCCGTGTGCCCAGCTTGTCCTTCAGCCTCTGCACTTGGATGCTGTTCAGGTTCCCCTCCTCATCTCGAACCTTCAGGAAGAACAGGGACAGGCCACTGGAACCCTGGGGCCATTGAAAAGCAAGGGAAGAGGATTTCATTACCATGAGACAAGGAAGAGAGGAATGCCTTTCTCCTTCACCCTGTTCCACCACCAGACAGACCTCTTTCACTTCTCCTTCAGCATCCACTACCCTGGCCAGGGTGAATGCCACATCAGAGTCAGCAGCTGAGGTGAACCACTTCAAACCATAGAGTCGATAGGTGCCATCAGGCTGCTTCCTGGCCACAGTCTGGGTGCCATTCCCTGCAAGAAAGGAGAAGAGGAGAAGATCATCTTGGCTTTGTGGGAACATCAGGATCAATCAATGCTGATTTTTGGTTTAAGCAGCAGCTTTTAAGTCACCTCTTGCTATCAAGACTGAGTATGGATTAGCTGCTAATCTCTTGCATTGACTCTGGATAAAGGATGCAGCCAGAGTGAAGTACTAGAACAGAGTTAAGTACTGACTCCCCTTCCACACTTCTTGTCTCCACAGTGGGCTTCTAAGGTTTCCTGGCCCATTCTGCTGTGACTAACAGTAGCCAAGGAGCACAAGTTGAAGGCCAAGAATGGTCTCTCAGTCCCAGCTGGGATGGGCCTGACTGCCTTGCTCAAGGTTTAGATTTTGGAGCTAGACATCAGTGTGTTATCTGTGCCAGGAACAGAGCTCTGTACCTGCCTGTGTGTCCTGCATGTACCAGTGGACAGAAGTTGGGGCTTTAGCTGGTTAAAAAGCAGAGCTGTGGAGAGGATTTGCATGACTTCAGCTGGGAGACCTTGTGGCCTTTCAGTACTTAAAGGAGCCTGTCAGAAAGCTGGGGACAGTCTTTTTAGCAGGGCCTGCTGGGACAGGACAAGGGGGAATGGTTTTAAACTAAAAGAGGGAGATTTAGACTAAGAAGAAGGAAGAAATTCTTCACTATGAGGGTGGTGAGTCCCTGGCCCAGGCTGCCCAGAGAGGTGGTCGCTGCCCCATCCCTGGAACCATTCCAGGTGAGGTTGGCCGGGGCTCTGAGCAACCTGCTCTAGCTGGGGATGTCCCTGCTCCCTGCAGGGGGGTTGGACCAGATGGCCTTGGAAGGTCCCTTCCCACCCAAACTATTCTATGATTCCATTTCCTAAACCAGCTCCCTGGCTTTGGAAGCAGCCCACACCCCTCACACCCCTCGCTGCTGCTGCAGCTGCTTCCCCCCCAGGACACGCACCGACGTCGGAGCCTCCCCTGCGCTCGGTCATCCACTGCCCAGAGGTCCAGAACCTCTGGGGATCACGGGCTGTCAGATGGTCAAAAGCCTTTTTCAGAGATCCAGGAATACCTAGTGACTGTTTTGGGGGATGGAAAAGAAACTAAGAAGATGGTAAGACAGTGGATGAAATTAGAGAGTTGCCTTAACTAACACCGGGGTGTCCTGGGCTGCAGAGAAGTGGAAATTGCCTTAATTTTTTGTCTTTTTATTGAATTAACATGCACAGGGCTAGCTACTTAAGGGCTAGCTTTGTTCTGCATCGTACATAGCCACCAACACAGCGCAGAGGGTGCTGCTCAGAGTCAAACCTTCAGACTGGGCAAGTCTTGCCAGCCTGACTCATTTACATCAGGTATGGATCTGGTTCAATGCAATAAACTGCCACTCCACACAGGGAACAGGAAAAAAAAACCACCTCGTAGTAAAACCAGCTGGGACACCTCTCCAGCTCCCTGCAGTGCCACAGGCTTCGTGTTGGAGGGAGACATAAAAGCCAGCCTGGGCACGAAGCCCTTGTGACTGAAGGAGAAAGGCAGTGGGAGATGGAGCTGAGTCACAGAGCAAGGGTGGGTCGTGCCCAGAGCCAGACAGCAGCAGATCAGCTCCGCTCAGCCTTGGCCAGTGCTCCAGTCTCCAACCAGCACTGCCAGGATGTGGGCTGTGCCCTCAGAGACCAGCTGAGCTCATACCTCAATGACTTTGGCTGCCCCATCAGTCATGGCCAGTGGACAGCTGAACCCTCCAGAGAAGCTTGAGAATAAGTACACTTTGACAGCCTGATGCAGACGGCTGGGGAAGAAAGGGCAGGCAGACAGGTTATGCAGCTGCTCCACAGCAGGGGGGTGAAGCATCTCGACGAGGAGGAGAGGAACAAAATGCAGCCAAAACAGGTGAATCATAGAATCATTAATGTTAAAAAAGATCATCAAGTCCAATCATCAATCCATCACTCCCATGACTACTAAACCATGTCCCCAAGTGCCACGTCTACACTTTTTTTTGAAGCCCTCCAGGGCTGGGGACTCCAGCACCTCCCTGGGCAGCCTGGGCCAAGGCCTCACCACTCTGCCAGGAAAGAAATTCTGCCCAAGATCCAACTGAAACCTCCCCTGGGGCAACTTCAGCCCATTGCCTCTCATCCTATCACTGGTTTCTTGGGAGAAGAGCCCAACCCCCACCTCACTAAAACCTCCTTTCAGGGAGTTGTGGAGTACAAGCAGGTCTCCCCTCAGCCTCCTGTTCTCCAGGATAAACAAGGTGAGAATCAGAACTGCTCATTCCTGAGAGGGCAAAAGCTGTTTCAGGCAGGGAGAGATTGGTAGCAGGTTCTCAGTCCCTGAGGGACTGCCAGGGCAAGGCTGGGTGAAGGCTTCCCCAGCCAGCACACAAAGTGCAGTTCTGAAAAGTCAGAACTGTAGGTCTGCCTCCAGGGGCTGGAATACAACAGAATACAAGTAAAATCCCAGCCCTTCAGCTGGGTTACAGCTAATGCATGTAGAGCTGGAGCAGCGCAGGGACCGGCCAGGCCCCAGAATCAGGAAGGTGACATCAGAGACTATTATGATCCACTGTAGGCCATTAGTTAGGGCTTGTCACTGCTGGTGTGGAACATTACAGCAGACAGACCCTGCTGCTCAGCCTGGCGGGAGGTCTGCTTGTGCCCATGCATCATCTGCTACCCATTACACAACAAGAAGTTCAGGCCTCCAAGATGCTCCATGTGCCCTGCTAAGAATAACCAGCAAGGCACCAAATCATTCCCGTTGTCCCCCAGTTACCTCCAGTTGGAGAATCTTCTCTCGTAAGCCTCGGCGACCAGCCCCTCTTCTGCAGCAATCTCCTTCATCCTCCTCCAGGCGGGGCAGGTGAGGATGTGATCCACCCGCCGCCCCCAGGCCCCGTACTGCCGGAGCAGGGGCGGGCTCCGCTCGCACTCCCCGCCCAGAGCTTTCACCTGGCTGAGCAGGCGCCGTCCAAACCTCTCCAGGTCCTCATTCACCTCCTCCAGCACCTGGGAAGCAACAAGAAGAGCCCTTCAGCACGGCCCTGGAAGGCAAGAGGCCTCAGTCCTAGCTGGGAAGGCAAGAGGATTGACCAGGCTGTCCTGTGGCTCTGGTGGTCTCCTGTCACTTGGCCCTTCCGTGCACTCTGGGATGCAGCAGGACACGCTGGCTCCCAGCCTCTGCTGGCACAGCTGTGCTCAGCTGTCACTTCACTTTGGGTTTGGTTTTGTTGTTTTTTTTTTTCCCCAAAATAATTTTTTTCAAGTAACTCTTGGCAGCGTCTCTGGGTTTTACAAAAGACAGAAGAGCTTTTGTATCAGGGCTGAGAATGACACAGATGCTCATGAGCAGGGGGGTTGGATGAGATGATCTCCAGAGGTCCTTCCAGCCACAGCCACTCTGTGATTTACTGCTGGAGAGGAGTGCCAGGGGAAGAGCTGCCAAAAGAAGAGAGCCTTCATCTGTATAGGAAAACTTCCACTGGGCCAAGCAGTTACCTGCCCATCAGCTTAGAAAAGGAGGGACAACACAATCATTGGAGCTTGTCTGGCACCCCAGATTTGAATTCCCACCCCCCTGCATCCAGCTCCCTCAGCAGCCCTGGCTAAGGGCCTGATGTGGCCCCATCTCAGCCAAGCTTGGCTGACTGGGGTGGAGAGCTCTGCCCAGAGTTAAGGGAGGGAAACTGCAGAGGAGTGACTCATCCCAGCCCTCCTGGGCACCGCTCTCAAGGTGACAGGAGCTGCCTTCTGCAAGTGCTCCTCGCTGTCTGCAGCCAAAGCCCAGTGAAGTTGCCTAGATGTAAATAACTTGACTTAGTGATGACCAACCTCAGGCCAGGCAGACCCAGCCTCTAGCACCATTAGACCCTCATTAGTACAAATCGATCCAAGATTGTGTTTGGGCTCAGAGAAGCACCTGGTCTAGTGTTGCCTTCATCAGAGGAATAGTTTTTGCTGTTCTCCACCCCTCAAGAGTTCTCATTTCCTCCTCAATGGAACAATTGACTTTTCATTAAACTGCATCCCATAGGACTGATTCTTTCATCACTCTGCTGTTCAGTGTGTGTAACGAGGATCCTACACACACTCTCCTGCTACTACTCTGGAAGTCTCCACGCTCAGACCAGGCAGTTGTCCTTCAGGTGAATGCTGAAATAGTGTTAAAATTCACAAACCAAGCCAAAACTCTGCATGAGAGCCCTGGCAACGGGTTGAGCTCCAGCTGCACCCCTGTTTGTTGTCATTGGAGCTCAGATGGGATGGGTGTATGCTTCAAAGCTTATCATATCTTGACAACAATTTGAAGGTTGTTTTAGAGGCATAATCTAAGAAAGCAAGGTTCTTGGACTTTGCTGATCCCTGAAGCACAAGCACCTTTGAACTGTTTACCTGGAGGTTTTCTGTGGGCAGAAGATGAGTCTACCAGAAGGAGCTCTTGGTCAATACACGATAATGAACTCAGGCTACAATGGTCCCTCCACCTCTTCCACATTTTCTAAAACAAATAAAAACAAACACCTGCCTAGCTGGAAGCTCGTGTCCTGACCACATGTAGCCTCACAATCCACTGAGTTACCCAAATGAATGTGTCTATTTCTGAGATAAAAGAAGAAAAGCAGAGCTCCTACATTTGTGACTGCTGAATGTCACACACAGCAGGCAAAAAAACGTATGGAGGGGGCATCTGTAAACCATCTGGGGCAGGGCTGTGGTCTGCAGGGTGCTCTCATCACCCTCATCTGTGCTCTGACACCCCAGGGATCAATATAGATCAGAAATGTGCAAATTATTGCACATTAAGAGTGCAAACAGATGACACTTTATATTACAGGCCGTATTTTCAGGGGGATCAAAGACCAGCAGATACTTCTCCATTCCAAAAAATTCATATTTTTGCTCCATTCCAGGAAAACTTCTGCGTTCACCACTGAACACAGGTGAACAGTACAACAGGAGCCAACCTCCAGCGTGATGTCTTGTGCCACACAAAGCTTCCCCTGGACCTGTTCCTGAAGAGGAAGGTGTTCACATGGAGAGCCAGCCCTCGGGCTGCAGGCGAGCGGGTGGTGCAGGGAGCAGGCTGGGCTCTCCTTCAGCAGCGAGGCAACACTGCCCCTCGGGGACCAAGAGCAGAAACGTTAAAGGAGATGCTGCTGATTCCCCAGTGGATTTTGCAGCCACTTTGTCTCTTTGGGGAAGGATTGGAGAGAAGCTCTCAGCCTTGGCAAAAGACTTCTAGTCTTCAGGAGATCCAAATCATGCTCCTTCCAAAGGTGCAGATTAGGAGCAAGATCTTCATGGTTGCACAAAGGCAACCTCCTTTTCTGTCCCAGTGGTGCTTAGGGAGGCTTCAGTGCCACCTTTTGTCATGGCTGTGACAAAAGCAAGCACCCAGGGCTGCCACCATACTCCTACTGCATGTCTGCAAAGCCTCAGAGACCTGGAGAGCAAGCACTGGCAGGCAGAGGGGCACTGAAAGCCACCTTCTGCCCCTCTACTCACCCAGGGGCTTTACAGGTTCTGCTGGAGGGAGCCATGGAGAGGGGTCATGCTCTCTGCTCCTCGAGAAGTGGGAAACAGTCGCAGTCCTTGAGGTAACAGCAAAGGACAGGCAGCGAAATGAGCCACCTCCTCCCAAGGGTTCCTTTAGGTCTGGACCTCACAGAACAGAGACCCACAGCTCAGGGTCTTACCTCACCTCTCCCAAGCCCTGTGATGTGCACAGAACCTTCCCTGACTGAAAATCAACCCAGCAAAACCAACAACCTGTGCTGAGAACAAGCAAACCTCAACAGGCCTTGGCACCCTCTTGAGCACTCAGCTTAGAACAGCCCCATTCCTTTGGAAAGGAATTCCCTTAAGAGCCCCCCTTCCCTGCAGGGAGAGCAGTGGAACTGCACAGCAGAGCTTGGAGGAACCTTAGTTTTTTCCTTTTCTCTGGAATTTCTTTCTCTGGATGAGCAGACAGCACGTGCCTGCATTGACAGTCCAAAAACAACACCCTTGTGACAACACCCAGACCAGAGTCCACCAAGACACTTTCTATTTCTGTTCTGTCCTGGCAGTATTTTCCACCCCTGCACTGACCAAAAGATAACAAGTTTTAAAGCACGCTGATAAAATCCTCCCCTTAAACACTCAAAGGCACAGAGGGGCTCAGAGAAATATTCAATTCACTGGCTTAAACCGTGACCCAGCTGGAATTGCAGTGCATACACACAGAAACACAAACACACGTGCCAAACCTTGGGAGGAAGGTGTGTTTTCAAGTAACTCCGAAGCAAAGCATCTTCCAAATACTGGTTCCCAGTCTCAGGCTGCTCTTGGAAGAGGGTCTCCATTTCTCTCCTTGCAAAGGGTATTTCCAGATCTTCTAACACTCGTTTCTCCTTCTCGCTGACCTGTTGCTTCTGCCTCGTGGTTGTGTGGATTCCTTTAAGGCTTGGTGGTTGGCACCTCTCCCAGCAGTGAGGCAGAAAGCGACGGGGCTGCCACGGCTTGCAGGCAGCACTGGAGCTCCACCAAGGCAGGCGGCAGGTAAACATGTCCCTGCAAAGCCCAGAGCATGTCACGCCAGCTGCTCTCACTGCCTGACCCTTCCTCGGTTGACAGCAACACCAAACCTGTTCCAAAATGGTGAAGTTACTCTTAAAAAAATAGGTCATGTCTTTCCCCCTCCCTTGGGGAGGAGCCTTCCAGCAGCTGTTGTCAACTGAACTAGGGAGAAGGTCTTTGGAAAGAGACCAGAAAGTGGCCTGGGAAAACACAGGTGCTCAGAAACACTGTGTCCTCCCCTGCCAGCCAGGAACACCATCCCCACCCACTGACATTTCCAGAGCTGGGGGAGAGGGGGGGCCCCACCAGCATCCCCCCTGAATTCCTTGTGGTGATAAAGGGGTAGAGGTGAGAGAGAAAAAATACATTTCCTCACCTGAAGGATAACAAAATGCCTGGAAAATCAAACAAATGGTTTAGGCTGGTTCTGCTGTAAATAAGTTACTGGTGAAATAGAGAAGCCATCCTCCTTGCCTGGGCTGTGATGCTAGCTCCAAAATAATATGCCTCTCATTAAGACCCTGATGCCTTTAATCTTAATTGGGATGATATTAAAAGTCTCCCTTTCCCAAGGGAAGTACGGGAATATTCCAAGAATGTATCTTTGGGCTTTGAGCAGTTTAAAACCTGTACCTAATTTGGGGTGATATGCTCCTAATAGAAATTTTACTTGAAAGTGTCAGTATGATACCGAATTGCTGTTACAAGCATGACAGTTGGAGCCTGGACCATGGGGTGAACCCCAGAGACTTGTCCCAGCCCCAGCATGAACTTAGATTCGCTGGAGAGTGGGGGGATCGGTTAGTGACGCAAAATCAGAGAGCTTCCACCTCAGCCCAGTCTCACAAGAACACGCAGACTTCTTGTTTGAATACTCAAGTATGTGCTGGTGGGATGTCGAGTGCTTTCTGGACACTGGCATGGTGGCAAGTCAGCCACTTGGGGTATCTCATCTCAGCACCCACCATCGCCTATTTCCCCAGGGCTCGGCGCACACTGAGCATGCAGAACAGCTCCTGCAGCTGGACCGGGGGCCCGCAAACTTTCCTTCTTGACAGGACAAGAAAAAATGGCCTCAA